CGCTATAACACTGTATTATCCGCTCTCAGCTATGGTGCCTGCCCGGGTGGTGTTGGCTATGATGACCTCGCTCGGTGTGGTGACGATCTACATGGTGAGGATAAACCTTTCCATGGGCATCATCGCTATGGTGCACACGGTCTCCGCATCCGACGAGGCAGCACACCATACCAGGACTGTTCCGTATTGTCTCAAGTATCGACAGGTGAATCATCATTAAAAAGGGGGGTTGATTTTCCCTATTAATACTGATGTTTTTTCTTTCTTTCTTTCTTATTAAGTGTAATGTGTTAATTGTCTTTTGTGGTCATTCTATTTTCTTGCTCTTTTTTCCTCTTCTGTTCATACTTCAAATTTGTCTTTCTACATATTCCAATGTTATAACATTTGAGCAATTTCTCACTCTCATGGAACAATCTTCTAGTATTTCTCAACCCTTAAATGAATTCTATCCTGACCTGACAGACGGTATGTAATGCTCCTAGATTACATTCCTCGTCTTTAGTGGTTTTAGGAGCTATCATAGCACAGTGGCATAGTACAGACTGGTGGCTTTGGCATTGCAAGATACGTAATCATTTAGTTGTGGGTATTGGTATTAGACGGTGCGGGATGGAGTTATTGGCATTACTGAGCATCATCCCGCGGCTCATTAAGCATGTTCCACTACGGACACGCCTCCACCTCTTTATTTGCATATGAGATGAGGGACTTTTGCTTTTGACATTAGTTTCCCATAAAACAAAGAACTGCCAGAGTTACCCATGAAACTAATAGCCGTTTTCTTTGCCAGCGCAAATTATTAGTGGTAGACTAATATATTTTGAAGGTTCAGCATATGGGATATTAAAACTGTAATTGACTAACATTGATCTCTTCCTTAATGATTGTACTTCTTTTCATGTCAGCCCAGAGTTCCCGCCTGTGTGATGATAATGATAACTGTAATGAGAATGATAACACCGACGAAAACAACGCGAACAACCATAATGGAAGATATTGTAATTATAAAAGCACCGTTCTCATCGTTTCTTATAACACAGCTGTTTTCTTATGCCAGACGGATGAAAAGGACACCAACAACACATCCTTCACAACCACAACTGAAACGTATGCCAGTTACAACGTCAGCATCAGCACTACACTCCCAGACACGGCGGAATATTCTTATGATTATAATCTGACTATGAAAGAGGTTTGTTGAATAATTATGTTTGATTTTGTGTGATGACAAGGTTTATAACCTAAGTTTGACTGGTCTGCAGAGTGATAGTCACAGTTCCAATAATGATATGAATATTGATGTTCAGAACGTTAGTAATTATGACTAATGATAACAACTATAGCAATAATAATAATGATAATGATAATACTTAAATAATGATAATAATGATTATGATGATGATAATAATGATAATGATAATGATAATAATAACAATAACAATAATGGTAATAACAGGAAAAATAATAGCAGCAATGATAATAATAATAACAGCAATAGTATCAATAGTAATGATACTGATGTCAATCCTATTAACTATAATGATAATACATCTCATAATCTGCATCATATTAGACTGAATGCTTTTTCAGTAGGATTTCATTACTCTCATCCTATTACGGATATTACACTTGCGGCTTTTCTTTGCAGCTGGAAGACAAGATGTTCCTGACAAGCGGGCAGCGGGGGACGGTTCTCGCTGCCTTTTTCTACGGCTACTTCGTAACTGGAGTGAGTTCATGAGTATTACACACACACACACACACACACACACACACACACACACACACACACACACACACACACACACACACACACACACACATACATGCACACACACACACACATACATACATACATACATACATACATACGTACGTACATACATACATACATACATACATACATACATACACACACACACACACACACACACACACACACACACACACACACACACACACACACACACACACACACACACACACACCACACACACACACACACACACACACACACACACACACACACACACACACACACACACACACACACACACACACACACACACACACACACACACACACACACACACACACACACACACACACACACACACACACACACACACATACATATACATTTATTATATATATATATATTATATATATATATATATATATATATATATATAATATATATATATATATATATATATATATATACTTATATAGAGTTCCCCTCCCCCTGGCAGCTCCTCGGCGGCAGGTTGGCTGAATTATACGGCACCAAACTGGTTCTTGGCGGCAGCGTCTTCCTGGGTATATCCTCACTCTCCTCACGCCCATAGCCGCCCGTTTCCACTATTGGCCCTAATTGCTCTCAGGGCCGCCATGGGACTGGGTCAGGTAAGGTTCCTTCGACTGGGAGGAAGGATATATCTGTGCATGGGGGGGGGCGGGGGCTAGGTAGGTGGGAGGGTGTGTGCGTATGGGGGCTTGTTGTGTATGTGTGGATGTGTGGGTGTGCTTGTTCGTGTATGCTTGTTTCTGTGTGTGTGTGTGGGTATTTGTTTTGTGTATGTAGGTTTTTGTGTGCGTTATGCGTATTTGTGTGTCTGTGTGCGAGTATTTTTTATGTGCAATCATGTGTCTGTAAAGTGTAAGTGTCAGCGTGTTTTTATACACGTGATATATGAGCAAAATCGAGACTGGCAAAATACAACAAAATTTCTATAATCTTTTCTTAAGCGTATCACTTTCTTGAACATCAATATTGCAGGGTGTTGCGTATCCCTCGATGCACGCAATGATCGCCCGCTGGGTCCCTCCTCTCGAGAAGCCGAGGTTCACTGCCTTCGTCTTTCTGTGTGAGTTGGCATCGATGTTGGGAGGAAGAATGTGTGAAGAGAAAGAGACAGAGAGAGATAGATAGATAGATAGATAGATAGATAGATAGATAGATAGATAGATAGAGAGAGAGAGAGAGAGAGAGAGAGAGAGAGAGAGAGAGAGAGAGAGAGAGAGAGAGAGAGAGAGAGAGAGAGAGAGAGAGAGAGAGAGAGAGAGAGAGAGAGGCAGACAGAGAGAGAGAGAGGGATTCGCAAATAGATATGAGATAGATAGTCAGATACACATAGATATGAGATAGATAGTTAGATAGACAGGTAGATAGATATGAAGATAGATAGTTAGATAAACAGGTATATAGATATGAAGATAGATAGATAACTAGACATGTAGTCAGATTGATATAGATAGATGGATAAATAAATAGACAGGCAGATAGACCAATAGGTAGGTGAAATTTACAAATATTTATAGATATATTCATAAACAGCCAGATATGTCGATAGATGGTAGACAGATATAGCTATATATAGACACATATAGACAGATAGAAAGACAGATAAAGAGAATCCTATAAGCCCCTCCCCCCTTCCCCCATCCCTTAGCCAGCTGTCTCGGCATCATCGTGACTATGCCTATGTGTGGCCTCATTATCGACTCCCTCGGCTGGCCCTACATTTTCTACGTGTCGGGGGCCCTGTCCTTGCTCTGGCTCGGGGTCTGGATGCGGTTCATGTACGAGACTCCCGCAGACCACCCAAGGATTTCGAAGGAGGAGAGGGATTATATCCTGGAGGGGATTAAGGAAGGGACGGCTGGGAAGAAGGTAGGTTGGAGGGTGTTTGGATGCGTGGTGTTGTTTTTTGTTTCACTTTTTTTGTCTGGCTGTTCGTGTGAATTGTTTCTCTTTCGGTCTCGGTCTCGGTCTCTGGCTCTGTTTGTCTGTCTTTCTGTCTGTCTCTGGCTCTGTTTGCGTCTCCGTCTGTCTGTCTGTCCCTTTCTTAGAGTGGTAAGACATTCTTCTGTTTTTCGAAACTGTTACTTTATGATTCGTGAATATTTCTTCAGTTAAAAAGCTTCTCTTTTCTCCCAAACACCCCACCCCTCCACTCACCCAAAACCCCCTCGCTTTTCCAACCCCATCAATCCCCCTATACTTTTTCACCCGCCCCTCATAACTCCCCCTTTCCCATCTAACCCTCCCCTAACTGCTCCATCACCCCCAACCTCTCATACACACCCACATCTAACTCCTTGCCCTTACAATCCCCTAAACCCACTCCCCAATCCACCACCCTAATCCATACAACCCCACCCCTTCCGTCTATGTCCCCAACCTCTTACTTTCCCTTCGTTCTTCCCCCCCACCACCTCCCACCCTTCAACACCCCATCTTATCCCTTCCCGCACCCTGCTCCCCTCCTCTATCCACTCCATCCCCATCCTGCACACGCCAAACCACTCCTCCCCATCCTACTCCCTCTCCCTCCAATATCAAAGCCAAGCCGAGTACCGTGGAAGCAGATGCTGGGCAGCCTCTCCTTCTGGGCCATCATTGTCTGTCACGTCGGGAACATGTTTGGCTGGACGCTCCTGGCCACTCAGCTGCCGACCTTCATGAACAGTGTGCTCGGGTTCTCCATTAAGAGTGTGAGTTCGAATTTTTCTTTCTTGTTTTCTTTGAATATTTTTTTTCTGTGTTCGGTTATTCATTTTTATATGGATTTATTCTTTTGTAGGGGGTGTTGTTTTGTTTGCTTATAATTTGCTTTCTCTGAATGTCTGTTTTGCTCTCTCTCTCTTCTCTCTCTTCCTCTTCTATCTATCTACCTACCTACCTATCTATCCTCTATCTCATCTATTTATCTATCTATCCATCCATCTACCAATGTATACGTCACAGCCTCCGTGCCCTTCCTCAGAACGGCGCCCTGTCCTCGCTGCCCTTCCTGGCTCGCTACCTCGGGGGGAACTGCATCAGCTGGCTCGGGGACTGGATCCTCACTCGGGGCTGGCTCTCTCTGCTCGCCACGCGCAGGGTCTTCACGCTCATCGGTGGGTCTGAATCCTTCTTTTTTTTTAATTATTATTTATTACATCCGGCTACTTTATTCATTTTTGAAAAGTTTTTTTTTTTTTTTTTTTTTTTTTTTTTTTTTTTTTACTTCGATGTCACTGGATTTTGGTGGTGATCCGGGTCCGGGAATTTTTGAAGCGATGAATGACCCTTATTCCCTTGGCGATAGGGGTGACTATATATTATCATTGCGAGATAGGAATTATTAGTATTATCCTATTGCCTTGGCGGAGGTATGCGGTCTACGAGTGCTTCTAGTTGTTGTTATCATTATTATCATTATCATTATCTTATCTTTGTTATTATCATTATTACTATTGTTATTATTGTCATTATTATCATTATTATTATTGTCATTATTATCATTATTATTATTGTCATTATTATCATTATCATTATTTCATATATCATTATTATTATTATCATTATCAATATTATTGTTATTATAATCACTATCATTATCATCATTATCCTTATTATTATCATTATTGTTAGTTATTATCATTATTATCCTTCAGTATTGTTAACATTATTGTCATTATTCTGTTATCATTATTATTGTCATCATTATCATTATTTTCATCATTTATTTTTTTTTTTATTTTTTCTTATTCTTCTTATCTTATTCGATTTTGTTCGTTTTTTTTTCTTTTCTTTTTGTGTTGTTCTATTTTGCTAATTTAGCTTTTATCAATTTCATCTTATTCTTTAGGGCTTTCGATCTGCTCTTTATTTCTTTCGTATATTCTTTTTCTTCTTCTTCTTTCATCCATTATTATTTTTTGTTTTGTTTTGTGTTTTCATTTATCATGTTTTCATTGTTGTTTTCTATCTCCGTTTTCATTCTCTTCAGTATGAGTGCTTCATTTATTTCTGTGTCTGCCTATTTGTGTCTTTTCTCTTATTCCTCTTTGCTTTTATTTTCTCTTTGTTAGGCCTTTCAGGTACATCATACATCACCATCCTATCACTTTCTCCATCCTTCTATCTGTCTGTCTATGTGTCTGTCTGTCTAGCCATTTGTTCGTCTCTGTGTCTATATATCAAGTCCGCTATCAATTTTTCTTGTTTTATGCTTTTCATTAACTGTATCTTTCTTGTTTTAAGTTTATGCATTTATATCTCTTTATTGTTTCATTTGTTTACATTTTGCGTGTGTTTTTTCCGTGTTTGTAAGCTTTGATTTTATGTTTGTTTTTTCTCATTTTTCTTTAACAATACACATCGTTCCATCAAACAATTTTTTTTTCTCTATTAATGTGTCTGTTTATTAATTCATATGTCTCTCTATATCTATACGTCTATCTGTTTCTCTCCGTTTCCTTCTTCATCATTCCGTTCTACCTTTATCCATCCCCCTCCTCTTCCTCCACATCAACACTCGAACACATACCAAAGACACTCGACACCCACCCATAACACACACACACAACCCTCTCTCTGCAGGACTGTGCATTCCCGCCCTGATGCTGGCTGTCGTCGGCTACGTGGGTTGCAACAGCACGGCCGCCATTGCCCTGCTCTGCGTCGGGACCTTCTTCAACGGCGCCCAAGTTCCCGGGTACATCTCCAACATGCAGGACATCGCGCCCAACCTGGCTGGTGACGTTGCGCTCGGACCTCCTGGCGCTGGATGACGGGACTGAGATACTTTGGCCATTATGATTGTTTCGAATATATATACATACATATCTATATATCTATCTATCTATCTATCTATCTATATATAGCTATATACATATATATATAATATATATATATATATATATATATATATATATATATATATATATATATATACATACATATATATATATATGTATATACATATGTATGATATGTAACGTATATATATATATATATATATATATATATATATATATATATATATATATATATATATATATATATATATAATATATATATATATATAATACATACATACATATATATATTATATATATATATATATATATATATATGTATATATGTATCTCTTTTGCATTCCTCAGGCACTCTGCTTGGAGCTTCCACGACGGTAGCTTATATGCTGTCCATGTTGTCCCCGATAGTGGTGGGCGTTCTGACTCCAGACCAGGTGCAGTAGGCCTTTAGGCCTTGCAGTCTTTCAGTCGTTGATTTGGTTTTATTTCTAAATATGCCGAAAAGATTGAGCATATACCTACCTACACAGGCATACATACATAGTTGTGTGTGCGTGTGTGCGTGTGTGTGTGTGAGTGTGTGTGTGTGTGTGTGTGCGTGGCTGCATACACAAACATACAAACACAGACAGACATAAACGGGGAAATAGACAGACAAAGAGAGACAACAAGCCAAGTTCACCCCCCCCCACTCCCCCCACACAGAGTCCCGGGCAGTGGCAGTCCGCTTTCTGGGTAGCAACTGCTGTCTACGTCAGCGCCGCCGTCTTCTTCTGCTTCTGCTGTTCGGCGGAGCTTCAGCAGTGGAACTTCGGGGACAGAGAGGACGCCGAAGCAGGAGGTGCTAAGGAGGAGAGCAAAGTCCTCCTGCAGGAGAGGAGAAGGGCGAGTGCCGACCGACGCAGATGAGGAGGATGCCAAGAAAAGTGCCTCTTAGATGGGATTTTTAATGAAAAGTTTTTGTGGTTTTATATTAAAAGTTTTTTTGCGATTCTTAATGTTTTTGTGATTTTAATGATTTTTTGGTGATTTTGTATTATTTTTTTTGTGATTTTTAATGAGAAATTATTGAGATTTTTGATAAGATGTTTTTGCGATTTTTAATGATTTTGTAATTCGTACTCGTACTTAAATATTTGTACATTTTTAATGTTAGTAATAAGACAAAATTCATATCATATCATATCAGACTTTCATTTCTAACAACGACACACAGGTCAAACACACATTTATCGTCCACTTTTAGCTATTCTAGTTGCAGAAGGCTACCTTTCCTGTTAAATTTTGACGTCTTTGAATCTTTCTCTATTTGTTTTGTTTGTCTGTGGCTCCCCAACCCTCAAACAGTAATTCATGAGGCTAATTATTAGGCTCCCAGTTTTTTTTTTTTTTCTTTGGCCCCTGACTGCGTTATAATCTCACAGACAATAAAACCAATTATACACAGAATAGATATTCTAGTTAATATGAAATATTTACGTTCGAGACAACTCCAAGAAAAGTGTAGAATCACGCCCAGCCCCGTTCATTTTCTATCTTTGGTTTATCTGCTCTTACCCCCTAAATCTGAATTATCGCAAATTCAATTAATGATTACAACATCATAGACTGGCAATGCATGTAACTCTCTAAACCATATCACCAGGATGTTATATTGCCATTTCAAACTTTTCCGGGTAATTAACTTAGATGCTCATTCAGTGAAGCCATATCTATAAAAAGATACATGAGAATAATAAGAGAAACCCGAGAAGAGAGAGAGAGAGAGAGAGAGAGAGGAGAGAGAGAGAGAGAGAGAGAGAGAGAGAGAGAGAGAGAGAGAGAGAGAGAGAGAGAGAGAGAACAGAAGAATGTATGTTTTGTTTCGTTGTTTATTTATATACTACTATGTAATAGTGACAAAGAAATCTATAAATGAAAATAGAACGGATTACTTTAACCATGCGTTATAAAATAATTCCAAAGCTATACATGTTATTTGTTAATTTCTAAGAAGAAATAACGTTCATAATTTAGAAAATTGGTTGGTTTATTCAGCTCCTTCGCAATACTTTTTAGCTTAGTAGTATATTTTCCGTAATTTACCAAGGATACGATCAGGAATTTATTTTGAATATATATATAAACTTACTCTATGAACTATGCACTCGTCACATCAATTTTTTCACGAAATCTTTTCCGCGTGAAGGTGCGAGGCTCACGTGACCCCATTCCCAAACGCCATCTTAGATCATCGTCGGTGTATAAAACCACACACACCCTGGGCTTTTACATCACATTTTTTTCGCAATCGCAGCAAAAGACAATACCATGGCTAAGATTTCTACGTTGTCCATGCTGGTGTTGGCGCAGGTCGCTGCCGGACTCTATTACGAGAGCTTTCCGTTGGTGTGTCCCCTTAAGCAGGACGTGCAGTACGAAGACAAAGTCATACAAGCCACCTACTTGGAGGTCGTTCAGGAACCCTTGGTCGCTACGCACGTTCATCTCAAGACTGTTTACCAGACAACCACACTGCCCGTCACTGCCACCCACGTCCACACCGTCACTGCGCCACCGCCCAATGTCACCGTCACACAGGTCCAGCTCCTCGAGACTCAAGTGCCACTCACGCTGACGCAGATCGAGACCGTCACAAGGAGACTCAGCGAGACCGTCCTCGACGTGGCCACACGAACGGCAACCAACTACCACACCCTCGTGGAAACCGTGGCCGTGCTCCAGACCCACTTTGACACCGTGACGGAGGTCCAGACGCGCCTGCTCGATGTCACGCTTACGGTGCACGAGACCCAGTTTTCCACGCTCACCTGGACACTGAGTCAGCTGGAGACCCAGCAGCTGGTGGAGAGCGTGAAGGAGACGAGCGTGACGACCACCACGGAATATGTTCCTCGATACACAACCAACACTCACACGCTCACCAAGATGGTGACGCAGACTGTGTGTCCGCCGAGTGCACAACACTCGCTCAAATGGTGAAATGTTCATGATATGTTGACGACCGAACTTTTTTTTTTGCAATAAATTGAGTATAGAAGAAAAATTCTATTCTTTTCACAATCCAACTTAACTGACTGGAATGAAAAAATCAAAGCAATGTCTGTGCAAGTGCACATCACACGTTGAAATGTTGAAATGTTTTTCTCTTTTCACCAGCCAAACATTTCATTTGAAATAAATAACTTAGGCAATTGATCTTTTAAAAATCCAACTCAAGTGACTGTGATGAAAAAATTCTAAGCAATGTCTGTCCAAGTGCACATCACACGCTCAAATGTTGATTTTTTTTCGTGTGGAATTAATGACTGGAATTCAGTTGTTTCTTAATTTTAGCCAGATTGATCATATTGCTATTACGTGAATATGCGTGGACTAAATAAAGACACGTAGAGATTGGTAACTGAAGGCCCATTAAGTCAAGAATTTGTCCCTTGATACCAGACTAGCATTCTTAAAACAAACCCCAAAATGTGTAATAATGAAATAGTAAAAGAAAATAAAGATGGCTGCACATTTAGTTCTTAAAAGGATATTAATGATTTGAAGAATTATCCATAGAAAAGCAAAAGAAGACGCAGATTAGGCACTTCCTATAGAAATAAGCAGAAAAGAAAGTCCGATTCCTACAGATCATTGATTGACCTAAAGAAAAGTTTAATGAAAGAAGTGGTTCCTAATTGATCAGTGATGAAAGTTTACAATTTAGGAAGCCCAAAAACAATCAGTCAATTACTATATAATTGTGGTCATATTGCAGTACAGATTCCATGCAATTTACTTCATTTGATTCAATTAGACGTTTCTAGACATCCAAAAAATTATGTGATTTTAAGGAAGTTTGAGGAATGTTATATTTAAAAAAAAAAAAAAAAAAAAAAGAAAAAAATGCCCTCTTTGGCTCGCAGACACACTTATATGTGTATTCGCTCACACATATTTGTGGATAATATGTTAATATATCTCTGTCTACCTATTTACCTATTTGTCTCTTTCTCTTTTCATATATATCAATAGCTATACCTACACACACATATATACACATATGTATACATGTGTACCTTTGTATGGGCACGTATATACATGCGTGTGTGAGTATGTATATGCATATGTATGTATATATATATATATATATATATATATATATTATATATATATACATATATATACACACATATGTATGTATGGATGTACTTATGCATATATGCATTCACATACACATACACACACATAATTATAGAGCATATATCATATATATCTATGTATTATGTATGCATATCTATCTACATATACATATGCATATATATATATATATATATATATATATATATATATATATATATATATATATATATATGCATATATATGTATATATATGAATGTATATACATACATCTTAAATTCTTTATACTGTATGTATACATTATATATATAGCATATGTATGTACATATACAGTATACATACAATATGTGTGTGTGTGTATGTGTTTATAAACTAATGGAGTCCAGGTACTGATACTGATTTAGAATATCATGAATATTGTATTTTAATATTATAGCCATGACTATTTAATCGTGAAGCTACTAAAAGTACTAATCTAGCAGCAAAATTGTAATAAAATTTGGGAGGAGGACATGCACTAGCTGCATGATCATACCCGACATCTTAATATGCACTGAAATCGTTAAACACGTCACCGAATCTTATTTCTAAATTAAGATTTGCAAATAAAAGAAATAAACAAAAGCTGGGTCTTCAAACCGATTACATTTTCTGTAAAATGAACGTGGTCATAATGCATTGCAAAAAAAAAAAAAAAAAAAAAAAAAAAACAAGGCTTACAAAAAACGGAATAGAAATCATATTCATTTATTCTCAGTTTATGTGAAATATCTTAATTCTGATAAAATTGAAGGGATGTGAGAGAAAAACTTTCCTCGTCTGTATTAAACCTGTTAGTTTAATATAGTTCTTAAGAAAGTTTTTAAAAAACAATATTGCATATTTATGTAAGCAATATTTTCTTTGATATATAAATAAGTTAACTTTAAAAAAGTGAAATAAGCGCGTGCCATCCTTCACTCGTCTCCCTCTCTCCCACCTTCCCCAGTTTCCAATATTCTTAACTGACTGCTTTCCTTGCCCTGCATAAAAGGCTCACTCTGTGACACGAATGCTGTCAATCTCCTTTCGCCCTGACAAGGCAATGGACATGTATACCTTCCTCCTGACGCTGTCTCTGCTCAGCTCCGCCTTCGGCGGTGGTCTCTACCCTCCATCTGCCACTTCGTGTCAACCTCGAACCGAGCAAATCACTCTTACCAGAACCACCGTGGAACCCCTTCTTGAACAGGCAACCACGCTGGACCTGCAGCATGAACACCAAGACGTAAAGGTCACCAGCTTCGTGGTGGAAAGGCCCACTTACACGCAGACCTTGCAGCTCACGCTCACGCCCGACCCTTCCATACTCACTCAAGTCAGCTTGCTCACCTCAACGGCCTTCCACACCAAGCTGGCCGTCGCCCGAACCACCACCGTGCTCACCGAGACCGTGCAGCTCCTGGCCAGCGAAGTTGCCGTGGAGGACAGGACCCTCACGCAGACGGCGATACAGCTGGACACCAAGACGCTGACGCTGACGCGGCTCAGCCTGGAGACGGCCTTCTCCACTCTCTCCGTCACGGACACTCAGCTGGCACTGGTCACCGAGACCGAGCTGGCGCCTCACTTTGTCACGCAGACCACTCGCCAGACCTTCGCGGTCTGGGAGACCCAAACGGTCACCAGTTACAAGGATGTGCCGCTGGAAAAGACGGTCACCGTTACAGAGCGCGAGTACGTTACCAAGTGTTACCAACCCAGGATCACTTATGGTCACTGATTTTTATTATTATTATTATTCAGA